GTATTTGTAAAGGGCAGCAGATGGTGCTATACTAGCGCTTTCTTGCCTATAGAGAATCGTGTCACTCTGCAGTAGAAGAGCACACCACTCAGAGGTGAAAAGCAATACAAGAATTTGACAGAACATACTAGAAATGGCTGAAATTGTGACCATGTCTACATTCTCATAGTTCACTGTAACATCATGACATGTGTGACTTTCGGTTTGTAGCTCAAAGCTGTCATATTGTCATAATCCTTATGGTGTTGCTCTTTCTTTTTTTAGACCACTATAAATATTCAGAGGCTCGAGTACAGAAGGATGGACATTACATCACCAGCCGTGGGCCAGGAACGAGTTTTGAGTTTGCCCTGACGATTGTAGAGGAACTTATGGGGGCTGAGGTTGCAGCTCAAATCAAGAGTCCTCTTATTATGAAAGACTGACTGTAGCTATGTTTTCTTGCAAGACTGCAAACAACACAGCCCATAAAAGTCTGACAGTGCAGTGCTGAGACTGCTAATCCATTATAGCTGGCATCGAGATTCAGGACTTGCTATTGAGAAAACATTCTGTTGCGAAAGGTTATCGTCTTCCTCTGCCTTTCATAAGTTGCCAATGACACTGTAACAATATGGATAATAATCACTGTTATATTGTAGCTAATTTCCACTAACTGCTTCCCTGTTATTTTGACTGCTGTATGGCAATGCCTGTCATTAAAGGACAAGTGTGATGAATCTCTGCTCTTGTTATTCCATTGTTTATTAATACTGGAGGTCACTCTGTAGATTTCACATGCCTGCAGTGCATGTTGACACCTAAATATAGGCTGCATAATGTAATGTATTGTGAGCGCTGGTTAGAACGCGGGAAGCGGAATCCGAATTGATTGACAGGCACTCTGGCCAATGAGAAACGTGGACCTAAATGCAGTTGTGTTTTAAACGGCGAATGGTTTCTCGGCCGCAGCCGATAGGGCGGGGCTTTGATGTAGCGCGTGGTAGCTGTGTCAGAGCAACAAAATCCGGAGAGTCTTCATACAGTCAAAAAGGAAGAGGAGGATTTCGCCTAAGGTAGGAGCGTTTGGGTTTTCTTTCAAGTGTTTTGCGGGTTATTCCGACTCCTGTTAACCATAACGTTCTCCGGGAATGTGCTTTGTAACTGTAATATTTTATTTACGAATATAAACGCAGTTTACACCACATTAATCACGTTAACTAGCCACCGCGGGTGTCGAAATTAAGATTTCTCCGGCACGTTAATTACACAGCAGCATACCGGACAAAGGTTACATCATTTAAAGAGTGGGTGTTTGCAACTAGGACTTACTTTGTTAGCCGTGATTAGCCTGCTGAGTGTGGTGAGTGGTGAGCCTCAAGTTCGCGGCGATCTATAAAGCCATAATGGATTGACATCACCGTCTCAAATTGGCCGGGCAGAGTAACGTTTGCCCGAGGTAACGCGTCCACTGCTTGCTCACTGTGCAGGGATGCGTTGAACTGAAACAGGAAGAACGACGTATCTTTACACTGTGAGATCGTTCTGCAGATGTGACCTGACATGGAGACGTCAGCTCCAGAAGCCCTCCATCCTCAGCAGCAGCCGCCGCAGTCAAGACTGCTGCATACGCTTACTGTAGCTAATGCAATGCGGCACAGGCCAGGTTGTGCATGACTTGTGATCCAACTAAATATGACTACAGGAAATTTAATGAGCTCTAAATCAAAGTTCCATCGATACTGATGTTGCCACTTATTGGTATGACTATACAAACTACAGCATTTTGCAGCATGAGTTTGCTTCACCAGAGATCCTTACTGACAGAGACGCCCTGTCAGGATTACACATTCATGGTATTTCTTAAAAAAAAAGTGCAATCCAGAGGTGTCATCTCCATCTTATTCAGTTTACATAACCAGGAAATACACAGCAAGTTATAATTCCATAGACTCCATGCTCAGTTGTAGGGAAACTCCCTTTTACACCACTTTCAAGCAGCAGTGATTCTTAGCGAATTCTTAGTAATTCCATGCATATCGGCAGCATAGCATTCAGAGATCATCAACATTTAAAAGCAGATCCAATGGGCTTTTATTATACAACCAAACAAAAGTTAGGGTGACACTGAGGCTTCCTTCCCGGTATTGTGCTTCAAGAGAAACAACTGTTAAAATCAAATGAAAATCAACATCATCAAAAAAAGGAGTGTTTGTGTGAGGCTCCCCATGAGAAATGATTTCACTCGCTGACTACTAATTGCATGTTTAACGTATTGATTACTTTAAAATGTTTTTTTGGTGACATTAGTTTGAGGCAAAAGAGACAGTGTTAACATTTTTCTGCATTTTTCAGTTATTTTCTGTTAGTGAGCTGTGTTGCTAAGTGGTTAATGTTAGGTTTCTTACATATTTGAGGTCATAAGCTGTGTTTGAGGTCTGCAGACCACAGGCTGAAGTTTGGTTTTAGAGCTTATATATCACCTTCTTGGAGCTATTTACCCAACTGAAATAAGCCCACAATTTGGATTTCCTGCCCGACTGTTGAATAACAACAGGGGCCAACCATGTAAACAATGTCTGTCCATGATTGACTGACCATTGCAACTTCCTGTGGAGTTTGAGGATTTTTTTTCTTTCTTTTTTTCACTGACTAACATTTATTTAGAGATAATCTCTTGCTGGTTACGGTTTCCAAAAGTTTTTTTTGTCATTTTAGATGACTATTCTCATTGTGTTTAGACGTCATCATTGTATTGTCTGCCTGATCGAATTGGTTTTATTTCAGTGTTTCATAATAAACCAATTAATGTCAATTAATCCTTACCACTCCCTGGAAGATGAACATTGGTGCTTAAATGGCATCTTCCTCATAAACTGTATAGCACATTCTCATTAATTTTCTGTGTTTTTCAGTGGGGTATTTATGGAACGTTAACATTTTGCGCTCTTGCACAAAACATGTTAGAATTATTCTGCTTGAGCAGTGGTACAGTAAAGAGCTTCAGGCTTGACTCCCTATTTCTGGATGGGGCAGAGGAGGGCAGGATGGGGGTAGGGTGAGGCTGAAGTCTCTGTGACTGAGTCATTGGTTTAGCTAATGATGCAATTAGAATGCTACACTTTGCATCTCCTGATTAGCTCCCCTGCTCGCACAGACGGAATTTTCTTGCCTGAGTTGTTTTTACAGATGTGTTTCAAAAGGTAATAGGCAATTTTCAAGCAATCATGGTTTCATCAGACAACCACAATTTTTAAGGTCATAAGCGATAAATGGATAGGTCTGGCTCGGACACTGAACGTAATGGGGAATCTAAACAATAGTTGTTTGTAATTGTACAATTTGGGACAGAATGGTTAAAAGTTTTGAATAAAATGTGCATTTTATATTAAGTTACGGCTACTTAAATGTGCACAAGTCTGCATAAAATTCTATTGCAAAGAAATTAAAAAAGCTACATAGTATTCTGCTATTTTGGCGTATTTTTTTTCATTATATTCAAAAGAATATAAGATTGTTTATAGCAACATTTTTGTCCCAGTTGTTTACTCAGTGGGGATTTGTTTGCAACTGACATGATTTAGAAAATTTACTGAGTTGGTATCTATAAATGTGAAGTACATGTATGATGTTTGAAGAGGTCGTTTCGTTGATAATCCGGACTCTCGAGCTTTTTTTCTTCTTAATAGTCAAAGGTTGATAGAAGATTGAACTCAGAAGTTTAAAATTCAGCTTACGACTCTTATGTAATTAGTGTTTCCTTAAACAAAAGTTTCAGTTCTGAGTAGGGATCAGCATATAAGCTTTTAATCTTAATAAATATACATGTAAGCTAGGGCTGTGCGATATGACCAAAATCTCATATCCCGATATAAAACATCTATCGTCCCGATAACGATATAAATCACAAAAAATGTAATATTTTCTGTAAATTCTGTGAATCTCGGATAGGTTTAGTGTTTCCAGCTGGGCGTCATGTAGCTGGAGTCCAGTGTTTTAACCGATGCATGAAACTACACGTTTTTAGACATAAGTTGTAACGGCCACCGTTTTCTTTGTGAGTATTTATTACATGGCCTGCTGCGGGGAAAAGCCTGTTCTAACGTTTGAGTCTAAGGTTTATTTTTTTAGCACCTGACGACTCTTTTTTTTTTTTTTTTTTTTGCTTCTCATCCGTCAATACTCTGCATACTTTTTCACGTGATTCCGTTTATTTTGAAAATTCTCAACAGGATCTTGAGCTTTATTGTGAAAAGTTTATGTGGAAAATAAACAAGCGGACATGCGATGGTTTTACCATCGTTGTTGCTAACCGCAACCCATAAAAACGGGTGCTTGTCCGTCAGTAGTGTGGTTATATTAAATATAAGAGAAAGAGAGAACTTTAAGAAATTAATATAGCCACTACAGTGACCGTCAAAACGATGAAAAAATATTGCCGTAAACAGTTTATTTTGCGACACCACGAAACAAACGATTGTGTAAAATGAAACGACAGACGTTTTTATATCGTCATCCGATATATATTGTTATATGAACAGCCCCTATGTAAGCTTTTCCAGCATGGCATCAATCCTTGGTGCCTTGTTTTTCTGCTTATCGTTATGTCAGATACAGTTAGCAGAAGTAAATGGGCCTGACCCAATGTACAAAAGAGGATTTTGAACTGCAACAGGAACATTATTAGTTCACACAGTGTGTTTGGTCAATTAAATATTCCTTTTGTGTGCTGTATCTATGGTGAGCAAACATACGGAAAAGGTCTGATGGTGCAGTCCTATGTTGTCCTGCTAGTTATGCATCAGTTGTGTGTTGTTGCACAGATCCCTCTGTTAACATCGCATTATCCATTTGCTGAAAATGCATCCACTTAGGCCCAGACGGAACAGCTGATTTATGTATCTCTGCAGCCCTCACTACATCTTCTGTGCACATAAAGTGTTGCTGATGAGAGCGATAAACCAGGCAGTTTATTCCCCTCAGCCAGCAAGAAGACAAGGTAACTGATCCCAATTGCAGAGGACTGAATGTTTGTTTTTTTTTTTTTTTTAAACAGCAATCAAAAACCTGATTTAAATTGGGTTAATCTCTATTCAGGGTCATCTACTTATGTGCCTCTGCATCACTTTCAGCTGTGGTGCTATTTTTTAAAATTTCATCTTGGAAGCCCCACTCAGAACCATTTGTACTTGAACGTCTGCATTTTCTCCACAAATATTAAAGTTGTGTAGCTGTAGTTCATTAAATTCTGTTTCAGTGTCTACTTTTGTAGGGGTCCATTTTGTTGCTGCTTGGTTTCTTGCACCTTTAGGTTAGGGGCTTAGCGAGGAGCTTTTTTAAAAAAAAATAAAATAATAATAATAATTTTGGTGTATTTGCTCTTTAATTGTCACAAAGGGTGACACCTTACTAGTAAAACAATAACAACTATCTTGAAATTGAAAAAAAAAATGTTTTTAACTCAATGAAAAAAAAAAGCAAAGTTTCACAGTAAAATAAAAACAAACTGATTTAGACAGCACTAGAACACCTCTGATTGAAGTATCAATCCTTCAGTGTCCAAGATGGTTGAAGAAGCAAAATGGTATTGAGCTCCATTAATACAACAACTTTTCAGTCAGCCAGGCACAACATGAAAGTAGCTACTATGATATCACCTACTGGTTTCTCAAGTCCCATTTTAAACCTGAGCATTTCCGTTGTCACTACCTTGATCTTTTGAAAGATAATCTGATAGGAGTCGGGTTTAATTTGAGTTTTTCTCTGTGAAACTTCACAGTGATGGGTTAAAGACTTGTCAGTCATATGTTGTTGGTCAGTGACCGTAACCCACATAATCCTCTTTTCTGAAACGGATGGCCAGTATTTACAAAATGGATGTAATGTTTTATAAACTGTGAACCAAAATGAACGACTGAGCCCATTAACTCATCGGGAAAGTGTTTACGTAGCTCAGAGGCGAGGGACATTTTCCCATTGACAACTGAATGCGGGTTTAAGCTTTACATATTGGCTTTACTTACACACAGGTGCTACGGGTGTCTTTTATACTGTCTATGGAGCTAGCTAGTAGAAATAAAACATTAGTGAGGATGGTTAGTCCCCAGTAACTGAACTTTCAAAATAAAAACAACATGGTTGTCATCTGCAGATGGATGTTTGTTTGTTTTTTTTAAAAAAAAGAAAAAAGCAGTTGCCAGGTGTTTTTGGATAGATTGCTGAAGTAAACTCTATATATGGTGGTAGTTAATTGACACCCCACTAGATTTTAAAGTAATTTCAGCATGTAAATACACTCGGCATGGTTCAGCTAGAAATGCTAGCAAAAACAGAGGCAGATTATTATTATTTTAAGATAAGATTCATAATTAGCTTGTTTGTCTGACCCCATGCTAAATGTGTGAATAACAACAAGTGAACTACAGGCTTCTCTTAAAATAGCTCTTGTCCCAGGTGTTAAATTTCCTAGTATCTGAAATGGACCGGGCTTTATTCACCTTACAGAGTTATTCATTAAAAGAATACCACAATGTCCTTTTAAATTTGCCAGTTAAATGGTTGTTTTTCCATACACCAAGAAACTGTGACACATTCCAGCAGAAAAAACAAGATAGAGATAAATGATGCAGTTTATTTTTGTGAAATGAAAATTTGTTGTGCTGTTTTTATTTTTTCTTTCTTCTGTTGTAGCTGAACTATGTGAGTTAACATTTCTTAAACTGCCCAGCTGGTAGTAAGGAGGGCACCTGGCATGATCACAAGAGCATCACCCTTTCCTTATGCAGCTGTCTGGCAAAGCTCCAGAGTTTCTCACAGAGACTTCATGCCGACAGCATTAGGCATATACCCAGCAAAAAGCCAGCCCCTGCAGCACTGAGTATGAACATGAATCTGTATGTACATAATTTTCTACGGTCATGATTAGAGGTGCCTTTGTTGTCTGTGAAACTGTGTAGAATGGTGGTTCAAGGTCATGTGTGTCTCCTCTGTGCTACCTCCCTTTTTGTAAAATGTTTAATCTAACATGATTTTGATCAATTTCCCAAAGGGTAATTAATGCTTAAGGGATATTATTATTTGAGAGTTACTGAGAGCAGAGGAAAATTTATTTAGCTGGCAGATATCCCACCATGCTTGGTGTCATGATTGGAGAGGAGCGAGCCATGAAGCCGTGGTCTGGCTGGAAACAGAAGCTGGAGATGCCGTGACTGGGCCTAGGCTCAGCGAGAAAGGCCAGGAACAGTGGTGCGCAACAGTGAAGCTGTAGCTGTCCCCTCAGGCTCTGGAGAACACAAACACATACACAGGGCAGAAAATCTATTAACACATATCTAAGGAAGCTGGTCTGAACATCACACTGGTGCCAAACACAAACTAAAGAAGTAGAACACATATAAGAATATGGAATTCAGGTGACACAATGTAAGGTATAGAGTATAAATGTAATTATAAGTCTTATTATGCACGACATAGTGCAATTGTAATTTCTTTTTGAACTGTCCATTCTACTATACTTATATTTATTTCTTGTCTTTATTGTTTCTTGTCTAAGCACTAAATCATCTATGTGCTGATACCATACCACTGGATATTTCCCCGTCGTAGGAGTCACAAACACATGATGGGACTTGGGATGTGTTCCACTCAAATGCCGTCATCTCTTAGCCCAACTACCTGCTTAGCCACCTGTTCACTTAACCAGTGCCCAGTGCAAACCCTACAGTAGAAAACCTGAACAATCAGGACTCCACGTATCCTGATTACCCATGACATCATAATAAATATACACTATTAGAAGCTTGTTCTGGTAACATCTTCCTTTAACCTCACTTCCTGACCCCCACCTACTGTGTCTGGCTCCACAACTCACTCTTTCTCTCTCTTTTTTAGTCAGGTAGATGGCTTCATAATGTTGTTTAAACATCAATAACATTAAGTTAAACTTCCATCCCTGCTTTTTGAAAGCAGTGGTTTTATAGCATTGATTTTTGCTAGCATTACTTGCAAATACTATCAGCAAGGTGGGGTCAGTTTCTCAGAAAGTGCACTTGTGTACATTACCTTTTAAAATTCACACTGTGATAAAGGAGAGTAGAATAGGGAGGCTGATGCATGCTAAAGTGCACTGGATTTGATTAACAGCAGTATGTGTTATAACACATTGTCAATTCTTAAATGGATGTGGTGTTCAGAAGTTACCAGTCTGCTCATAAGGTTTAGAGTGCACAGCTGTGAATAAGTGGTTTCAAGGCATGCATATTGGGTGGGTGATTGGTGCTTGGTTCCAAGATGTATATCTTTACGTTCTGTTACTGTAAGATGTGATTTAAAAGTGGTTTCCTCATAGAACTAGTCAGCTAGACTTAGCAGTGTGTTTGTGTGGCTAACTGGAGTTGAGCAATTCTTAAAATTGGAAACCATAGGTCCCTTAGTCCAAGATAATAGTGTCTTGTCACTGAATTTCGAATGAACATAACTTTGATTTCTGCTTTCTCTGACCCGCCCATCTTGCATCATTTACAGCTCACTGTTTCACTGAATGCATGCTTACTCAAATGCTGACAGTGCAAAGGGATTTTGTGTGTGTGTGTGTGTGTGTGTGTGTGTGTGTGTGTGTGTGTGTGTGTGTGTGCTGTGTGTGTGTGTGTGGTGTGTGTGTGGTGTGTGTGTGTGTGCGTGTGTGGTGTGTGTGTGTGTGTGTGTGTGTGTATGTGGGGAGGGAGGGAGGGGCATTTCCTTTAACGCATCTGCTCTGCACAGTGACTACAGGCTCTCACATTTATTCTGTCACTTCTGTCTCTTTCTTTTTTTTTTTCTTTAGTCTCTCTTCTCTGTGCCTGTTCTGTCTGTCCTTTGTCACTTTTTTTCTGTCTCATGTTCTCATGTCAGACATACGTGCTCATATCACTCAGGCACATAATCGTGGTCACACAGGATCTCACATTCACCAGTCTTCTATCATTCCTCCTCCCTCTCCTCTCTCAGCTTTTCTGCTCAGTCTCTTGGATTTTTTTGGCTGCTGCTCCTCCATCATTGCTACTGTGCTCTGCATTTACTCCCTGGTTCTGCTCACTGCGTCAGGAATCGGCAACAGACTGAGGTGGGTGTTTTAAGAGCATCATCGCTAGGTCTGAGGCTATACATCTCTGGTTTCTCTCTCTCTCTCCCTCTTCCTTTCCTCTCACTTTGTTCTGCCAGTGAGAGTCGGGATGATTGCACTTGTCTGTTCCTACAGGGGAGCAAGTGCTATACTATCTGTATGCTGCAGCATTTAACACTGACACACAATATGCTAGCAAGGTAGCGTATCTTTTTCTGTTTCAGTTTTGTCAATATGGTTGATAATGCTGCTGCTGCATTGAAAACAGTCTTTGCATACCTTGTTATACTGGCATGCATTTCCCCCTGTCTGACTCTGTCTTGCGTCTGTTTCTACTCCATTACTTTCCTTTGTCTGAATGTCATGCTTTATGCATGCTCTGTCCTTTTGAATTTCAGCCAAATACTTAGCTGTGTTCTAAGATTTATAAAGAAGTACCTTAAAATAGTCTGCGTGAAGGACATGGGTGCAGGCTTGCACTAAAACACACATGCACATTCACAGAGGAGGTTCAATTCCTCTTCACCTTACCTGCCCTGCTGCTGCTGCTGCAGTTCCATCTGTTGCCGTCGCCACAGCGAGCAACACCCTGAAGCGAGGCTTTAACTGTTCTTGCAGTGTTGTGATGTGAGTTGCTGAGAGGTTGTGACAGTCATCTGTGCCTGGTCGAATGTGTTACCATGTTATTTAAATGTGTGTTTGTGCGTGGGTGTTCATGCTGCGGCTGATTGTTGTGGGCCAGGATCTCCGCATGCCCATGTGTGTGTGAGTTTGCGCTCACATACAGTATGTGTGCTTGCCTGGCCATGGGCTCCGGTCCAACAAGAAAGCACAGGAGAGGCAGGCTGCAGGGTTTCAGTTTGGTGCAGTAAGCTGTTGAATGCTCTGTAACGAGCAGAAACGCCAGATTCTTGTGGTGTGTCCTTTCACTCGGCAGGTACAGCTGTATTGCAGGAAAACGGGTTTTTTTTTTTTTTTAACTGAAATATCTGCAGTGCATATGACTGCAATATGTCCTTGAATTGGCTCTGACAGAGGCAACAAACAGTACTACTAACAATTCTTCAGACAACATCCTTTCAAATAAATGCTGCGTGACATCCAGTGATAAAAGAGCGGACTGATTAATCAGTGTTTTGCAGAATTTCTTTGATTAGATGTCATTCGTAATAGTTGTTAATGTTTGCATAAAAAAAGGTATCACTGCTTCTTTTATAGTGTTCTGCTGCACCTGCAACCTGCTGATTTCAAAGGCAGATGTTTGGAGTTGTTCTATAAAGATACAAATTAAAACAGAGACAGCGTAGATCAATAAACTCCCTTGAGGTTTAAATGTTTTTTTAGGCCAACACCTTTCCCTATCATCTACATTAAGTTGTAACTACATGCCTGTGCAGATTATAGCATCAGAGGTGTTAGAGAGATTCAGATGTGTAAGATCTTCAGTCATGGGCTTAACGGCTGTCGGTGGTCATTGGCAGAACTCTGACATTTCACTCAGCCTTATCACCAGTGTAGGTCCTGACTCTACAGTTTTCACATCTTGGTCTGCTGGACGCTCCAGTTGGAGTGTTTTGTAAACTGAGCTCAGTAATCATTGTGCAGTTAAGATTTAGCGGCCTGTCTAGCATCATTAACCCTGTTTTGGAACTCCTGTGGGTGTCACACTCATGCAGACACAGGAGCTTGGGAAATTTATCATATGTCTTTTTTTTTCTTTTCTTTTCTTTTCTTTTTTTCTTTTACCAGGTGTGTTTTCCTCCTGCCTAGCTCCCATATTTTTTAATCCAATTGTGTAGGAAAAGATGTCTCTATTATGTGAACCTTGCCGAGGACTGAACTAGGAATATAAATAATAAAATATTTTCTCAGCTAATAGAACCGCTTGGGGTGTTTCACGTGACTCTGCTGTTTTTACCATAGTCCTGTTGATAGCGTGAGGTGGTGGATTTTGTTTGAAACTGGGTAATATTGATGATATCACACACAAATACTGATTGAGTATTTCATCAAGAGTGTATGTGGATTTTTTTTCTTTTTTTTCTTTTGTCATCTTTAACAATCACTACGGGGGGGGGGGGATTTTGGTGTTACACTCACAATCATATCTAAGTTGTTTTTTTGGTTTTTTTAAGTCAGTAGCCCTGCTTGGTGATGAACATTTAATGGAGGCAATTGGAGGCAAAATCAACAATCTAGTTTTCAGAGACAATAATCAATATCTTCAGTCATTTCCCCTTAAAGACGACATTTGATGAGCTCCCTGTACTCTTAATGACGAGTTTTGACACCTAAGTATAAGTCAATAAAGTTGTGACTTGATGGCAATTAGAATAGTTTGTGTGTTCTTTCTGAGGGTAGAGCTTAAAGGGCCTAGCAGGCTTTCAAGGGATTAATGTGGAAAAATTGTGTATGGAGACAACCCAGTCTCCAATCTCCTTTGCTGCAATAAATAAAATAGTACAAAAAAAATAAATATTAATGCATATTAACACAACATAGTATATGTTTGTTTTAAAATGGACAAAATATAGAAACCAGGCCAGCATACCAACATTATACTACGTAATGGTATTGATGATAAGGTAGCTTTGGCTCTGGTTAATTGAAGAATTTGTCCTAGAGTGATCTGCAGAACTTAACATAGACCATACAGCATCTGCTCTCCTTTCTGCATTCACTGCATTCTTTAGCCACTCAGAGGGATTCTCATCATATGTAACTCAAAATGCTTGTACAAGACTCTGCAACATCATTCAGCAACTGTGCTTGAGTTCACAAGAAGGCAGTCTACAAAAGTGGCATATTGAAAAATCCCCTTAAAAAACCACTGATGATAGAACCTTAATGACTGTTGGACATGTGCCTAGCTTAATATAGATTAATTTTTATGGTAGTTTAATTTTAATGGAGACTGATTTGCATGTCACTGAGTAAAATAAGTGTTTGATCACCTACAGTTTTAAGATATGTTGGATATTTTTTTTAAATAAAGCATTTCTACCAAAGCTAAACTGGGGAGGTCTTAAAATTCAAGTGCTAGGCTATTTACTGTTGACCACTTTGCCTACAGCATTAACTGGCTTGTCTGTACAAGCCCTGCTCATGGCGTCTCAAGACTGATGTGGCTTAGTTCCAGTTGTAGCAGATCACACTAATGCAATTACTGAAGATGATGTAGTCATTGGCTTGTTGGTTTTCAGTTCTTGTAAATGTAACACTTCAGTCTTGCAACGGAAGTACTTGCCTTTCGAGAAGCAATTTTTCTGGCATTGTGATAAATGATCAAATTGCTGTTGATTTTGTTTAGTTTTTTTCCCCTCCAGTTTGTCCCAAGATATTTTTAATGGATAGTGACATTAAATCTTGATCCATTAGTGGCCAGTCCTCTTTACTATAGTATGTCCTTGCTCTGTGGCATGCATTGTGTGTCCTTGAAACTTAATAAATCACTATAATAGGAGAAAATTACCCTAGAAACATTTTTCACAGAGTGCACAATAGTGTGTTGACTGGCTAATAAAAAGCATAATTTAGAGCCACAAGTGTGAAATGGGTATTTGTTGTGAAAGTGCTGCTGCTTAGTGTTGTCAGCATAAGGACAAAAATGGTTTCACAAAAGGAAGTTGGTCACCTGATGGGTTTCAAATTGATAACCTGAGTTTGAGTGGGCACTAATTTAATCGTTATTCATCATTTATATAGTCGCAGTCTGGTAATGGGGTTCACTCTTGTTATGTTTTACTTGTTTTAATTTTTTTTAAAAACTTTTTTCAAAGCTGTTACTTTGCTATTCTTCTGCATAATGGAAGTGAATTTGACAAAGAGCTGTGTAGCTTTTGTTGATGATTCAGTGACAGTTATTTATTTCTATATTCAATATTTACACTCAGTGTAAGATGTTCATTGTTTAATTTAATATTTTGAAGCATGTGGTTTCTATTCTTAGTCTCATGAACTAAATTTGTAATATGAAACCATTTTACTCCACTACTCTTCACCCACAAGGAAAGTTAAGTAATTTGTGTGACGTTTTCATTGTTTATGCTTTTATTGGACACGTGGAATTGCTTTGTTTGACTACATCAGACCAAAACATGCAATGTATTGCAGTTACTATCATGCATTTCATCAGTTGTGATCAAGTGGAGCTTATTTCCTCTCTGAAGCTTTTATTTCATAAAAAGCATCTTCTGGTTTTGAATGAGGTCTACCTCCACAAGGAAACAAGACAATCTTTGAAGTGCGAGCTAGAAAGAGTGATCTACTGCCGGCATGTTGATTTTTTTTTTTTTTTTTTTTTTTCTCTCTCACAGCACAGACAAAATTACATCTGCACACATTTGTACACGTACAATCTACTTTTGGGTCATGCGTTTCAGTTTCTCTTCTAGATGTTGCTGTTGATTCGGGACCTTAGATCAAGTGCACGCACGGTGAATTATGCTGCCTTGTTTCTTTTTGCAGAAGTTTAGGTCATGTTCATTATAGATGATTTGTGAGTGTAGATGCATTTGACAAAAACTTGACCACATTATTCATGATGCTTTTGCAACATTGTGTAGACACTACATGTGAATTATAAAAACACCACTGCAGGTGTGAAGAATGACTTGGCGCTGACTGTTGTGGTTGACGTGTGTGGTGACTTATGAGGCACTCTGCTGTTTGTGATAGTTGAGTTATTGAGGTCATGTCTATATTTGCTGCAAATGCGAAAGATTGATTTGAAAGTCTCAAACTGAAGTCTGGTATTTATTTATTTATTTTGTCCTGATTTTGCTGCATTCATAGACATCTAGCTGTGTAAGACATGACAGTCTTTCAGACATTAGTGGAAGTGTTACGTGAGCATTTGCCTTCGGTGTTGTCCTTTCTCTTTAATATTTCCGTATGAATCCCCCTCACATGCTTTCTGCTCTAAGGCCTTCCGTTACCTGCGGATTGGTTCAGCTGACTAAAAAAGACAGTGACTTATCTCTAGCAGTAAGCATTAAAAAAATGTAAATGATTCAGAAAATGAGCTTAGAGGAATCTTAGGTGTGTTAATGATGCTCACATATGACAATGGGTTGGTATAGTATCAAAACAAATGATTCACATGAATAAACTAATTCTCAACCCTCAGTTGCAAGCTTGTCCAGGCCTGATAAACTGCATTGTTGCTTCTTATTAAATGATGTATTGGACGGTAGCCTGCAGGAAATCAAGTGGAGCTGATTCTACTTTTTGGAAAGTCCTTTCAACTTTGACACTTATCCTGTGACTCATGATATGAGTAGTCTGAAAGAAGGGCGGAGTTTATTTCCGAGTGACTAGTGAGCTGCTAGTTAAGGAAACTCTGTCTTTACATGGTAAGAATGCTGCCTGCCTGTAGAAATGGCAGCTTTGATTTTTGAACCCTTCTCAGTGCTTTCAACACACAAGCTTTAAATGGCTGGGTTTTCACAGGATTACTTTTTTTATTATCACTGTTTTTAATTTGGTTTACTGGTTAACAAACCTTCTTGGTCTTGCTTTAATAAAAGTTTAGGTGCTGCTAAATGTCTGGCTTTGGCACATCCCATCCTCATTTTCCTATCTTCTAGCTAGCTGGTCCGATTGGTGTTGTAGAAATTCTTGGTTTAGATTTTTTTTCCCCAAGATTTAAATGTGTTATGTGTGGATAGATCTACGGATTACACCACCATGGTGGTCTGTAGCTGTTGAAGGGGTTTCTTCTTTGCTCTAGAGATTTACTATGTGCTGGAGGGCCATTTTAACTCAATGAGGCTGCAGAGAACAATGGCTACTGTCGACAGCAGCAGGATGAGAGACTCGCCAGTGAACAGCTGATTTTACTGAGTTTTGTTGTCACAATGTAAGAAAAGATGAGCTTTATTGTCTTTGTAAGCACAACCATACAACAAAATTGGAGCCATCTGAACTTGGTGTATATAGACAAACATAAACAGTCATGCCAGTTAAATAAAAGAATAATAAAAGTATTTTCTATAAATAACTAGGTAATAATTCTAATGATTGCAGCTTTAGCAAATTGCTGTGCAAATA